AAACAAGCGATCATTCATATTTTTTTAACAAAATAAATAATATCACTGTCATTTAATGTTGATTGTCGGACTTATTTTTCAGCTCAAGACTTCTTGTTTTTAATGAGAAATTCGCACGAGAAATGGGCTCTCAACAATGGGAAAACAGATTTTAATATTTATGTTAATATTATGGATATTTCGTTTAAACTTTTTTTTTAGCATAAAATAAAAAGAAAATTTGTTTGTTTGTTGTGTAAGATGTAATTTTATTTCATCTCGTGAACTTTAAAAAAACAGTATTCTCACTCGTGGCTACGCCACTCGTGAGAATACTGTTTTTAAAAGCCCACTCGATGAAATAAAATTTCATCTTACACACAAACAAACAAATATCCTATATATATATATATATATATATATATATATATATATATATATATATATATATATATACATTATAATAAATATATATATATATATATATATATATATATATATATAATATAAACAAGGGATACAAGTCGTGGTCTCGAACTACCAGCACGGGTTCGTAAAATGCATTCACACGTGTAAACTGTATAAAATATCCTCTATTCCATCAAAGTAATTGTAGAAGTTAATATATGAACGAGTCATTACCCAAATTTTACTACAAACACTTCATTAAAACCTGTAACATTGCAGGAAATAGCTAACATTTCAATATTTACATTGGCTGTCAAGTTGTCCATTTTGCAGGTGTGTTTATGTTCCGAGTATTTTCATTGGCTGATGAAAAAACCGCTATTCGTCGCGGCTATATGCCGTTATTATCCGGATTATTATTATTCATTAGCCAATGGAATTGACAGTTACTAACAGAAGTTGGGTTTACGCATTGGAACATACGGGTAACATCAAAATGGAAGCCGATGATTGAAATTATCAAAACAAACATAAATTGTTACAAGTAAAATGGTTTCCTGCGGGGAACATTTTTAATGATATAAAAATATTTCATTTAACTATTTTCAACATTGTTTGGGGGGGGATAATCAGGAATATAGTTGACAATAATCGATCAATATAGAAGAAGGTATTTGGAAACGACCGGAGAAGGTCGAACATAAAACAAGAAAATGATTAAATAGGCCTACCATTTTATGCAGAAATATCTCTATTTATTATGGCAGATGCCACTACGAATATTTTAATTTTGTAGATATTCAGTATAAACAATGTATTGTTTGTAACATTTTGAGATACAAATTAAGGAAACATTGATAATTTTCAAACACATCAATAAAGTTTTTCCACCTTAAACGGAAACATAATTAAAGAAAATTAAAAATATCACGTAATAGTTTTTTGTTTTTAATTAGGTGTTATTCTGACTTATTCCCTAGGGACTCGGACCGGTGTATTTTCGTACTATTTGTTCTATAGTAAATCAGTCAAATTTGAGGCTTAATTCTGGATTCCAATGTTCTTGATGAATTATATACTCTTCAACTTTAAACATTAACACTATCTTAGTCCAATGAGGCCCAAAATATAATAGGTTAGCCATCTACTTTTTAGCTCACCTGTCACAAAGTGACAGGGTGAGCTTTTGTGATCGCTTTTCGTCCGGCGTCCGTCCGTCCGGCCGTCCGTCCGTCCGTCCGTCGTCCGTAAACTTTTTCTTTAAATGACATCTCCTCATAAACCGCTGAGCCAATTTCATCCAAACTTCACAGGAATGTTCCTTTGGTGGTCACCTTTAAAAATTGTTCAAAGAATTTAATTCCATGCAGAACTCTGGTTGCCATGGCAACCGATAGAAAAAACTTAAAATATCTTCTTTTAAGAAACCCAAAGAGGTAGAGCTAAGATATTTGGCATGAAACATCTTCTAGTGAGTGTCTATCAAGTTTGTTCAAATAAAAGCCCTGGGGTCAAAATTGGCCCCGCCCCAGGGGGTCATTGATTTTCCCTATATGCATATAGTAAAAACTTATAAATTCTTCTTTTATAGAACCCAAAGAGCTAGAGCTAAGATATTTAGCATGAAACATCTTCTAATGGGTGTCTACCAAGTTTGTTCAAATAAAAGCCCTAGGGTCAAAATTGGCCCCGCCCCGGGGGGTCATTGATTTTCCCTATATGCATATAGTAAAAACTTATAAAATCTTCTTTTAAAGAACCCAAAGAGCTAGAGCTAAGATATTTAGCATGAAACATCTTCTAATAAGTTTCTATCAAGTTTGTTCAAATAAAAGCCCTGGGGTCAAAATTGGCCCCGCCCCAGGGGGTCATTGATTTTCCCTATATGCATTTAGTAAAAACTTAATAAAATCTTCTTTTAAAGAACCCATAGAGCTAGAGCTTAGATATTTAGCATGAAACATTTTCTGATGGGTGTCTACCACATTTGTTCAAATAAAAGCCCTGGGGTCAAAATTGGCCCCGCCCCGGGGGTCATTGATTTCTCTTATATGTGTATAGCAAAAACTTAAAAAATCTTCTTTGAAAAAAAAACAAATAGCTAGAGTTTAGATACTAAGCATGAAACATCTTCTAGTGAGTCTCTACCAAGTTTGTTAAAAAAAAGCCCTGGGGTCAAAATTGGCCCGCCCCGGGGGACATTCATTTTTCTTATTTGTGTATAACAAAAACTTAAAAAATCTTCTTTGAAGAAACTCAAATAGCTAGAGTTTAGATATTAAGCATGAAGCATCTTCTAGTGAGTGTCTACAAAGTTTGTTCAAATAAAAGCCCTTGGGTCAAAATTGGGCCCGCCCCGGGTAAATTGATTTTCCTTATATGTGTATAGCAAAAACTTAAAAATTCTTTGAGAAAACCCGAATAGCTAGAGTTTAGATATTAAGCAGGAAACATTTACTAGTAAGTGTCTACAAAGATTGTTCAAATAAAAGCCCTGGGGTCAAAATTGGCCCCACCCCAGGTGTGTCACTGTTTTTAACTAAATGTGTAAAGAAATAACTTGACCAGCTAGACCTTAGATGTTTAGCATGAAACATCTTCTAATGGGTGTCTACCAAGTTTGTTCAAATAAAAGCCCTGGGGTTTAAACTGGCCCCGCTTCAGGGGCCTATATACAGGTGAGCGACTTCAGGGCCATCATGGCCCTCTTGTTTCAGAAATCTTCATTCTGTTGTAACACTGTTTAAATTCACCTCTTTAAAAACTCTTGACAGCTGGTGGGTAGTACATATTTAATCCTTCCACCAACAAATGAGTTCCTGGAGAATACACAAAAAAATAACTTTTAAAGTCATCATATAACACACAAAAACTACACACATGCAATAAATACACTTTAATTATGACCAATCTAACTAGAGATGACTTAAACTGGGCCATTTCAAAATTTTAAAGAACTACTTTCTAGACTACAACGGGTTCGGTCTAATTCCGTACCGGGTTGAGACCTAAATGAATCCAAAATTTAAGTTAAGCAAAACTTTATACTCATTTCCTAGTAATTTGGTGTTATACAGGTACAATCATATAGGTTTGACATGTCTCTAACAAATTACATTAATGCAGTACAATTTCTTAAATATGAACCTTCATGCGAAAAGTCAGGCTCGGCCAATAGAATTTTACGCAAAAATTTATATTACAAAATCTGTCATATCTTTTTATTCTGTCAATGGATTTTCTTCGAATAAAGTTTAATGTTACCGGCTAATGTCATACAGTTATTTTTATGAAAGAATAAGACCTTATTGCTTAAAAATTGTAATAAAAACTCCATTTCTTTAAATTGGAGCATGACATTTTGGGTTAAAATACAAGTAATCACAATTAAATGTGCTTTTTTCATAACTTTTTCCTTCAATATTGTAATAAAGCTTACTGATTATGATTTTTACCTATATACCATGGTAAATAAAGTAAAGAACCAACATACACACCCTACATTGTTTGCTTAAGATATCAATATTGACAAACAGAGGTAATCTTAAGGTTAGCAAAGAGGTTACCATATCACCATGGGCTATGTCTTCTGACAAAGTAAGATTAGCCAACCCTCACACAAATAAGGCTTAAAAAAGATGACACATACCGTCTCCCACTTTAAATCATTGAGAAGTCTTAATATAGTCAGAATTAGAGAAATTTTCTCCTGATATACATCAAAATAACTACCAAATATTGCCCGAGCATTGGGAACGCTACCGTCAATAGCTGAAGTTTCAAACTAGACATAAGTTATTACCTTCTCAATGTGTCCTGACAAAGCTGCTGCCAAACTGAGCTGAAGGAGTCCTTCCATAGATCTTCACCGGGATAAGGTAAGGTCCTGTACTCAAACCCAGGCTTTGGTAACTGCACGGTCTGAAAAAATATGCAACACTAGTACATGCCTAAGAAAATTATAAGAGGCATTTATGCTGTAATTCTGATATCTGAAAATGAAAGAAAATAATGTCTTAATCAATTAATCAATGGCTAAATTTGCTAATTCACACAGGAGAGCTAGTCTGGATTACCTGCCCTTTGTCTAAACAAAGAGTCAGGCACAAACCAAATAATGGCGGCGGCGATGGAAACGGTAAGTTTACGAGCAAATAGCAAAAGGTGGTTCATTGTGATAGTATTGACTTTCTGGTCAATATCAATGGTGTAGTTTTCATTCGTGTAAAGTGTTCTTATGGAGCTATTACTTATAATGATCAGATTTTACATTCCTGACAAGTTGAATATTTTTCGGACAAATTTACACATAGTGTAATTTCGGACAATATATATTTAATTGATAACTTTTATCTTCATATATCCTTATCGTGGCTTGTGACAGCATCTTACTATACTGAAGTAGATAATTACTGTACATTGTGCGTAAATTATGTCCTTGCATATAATAAATGCATTATCAGTGATATTATTAATTAATATATATACTTGATACAGATACATATATATTATATGGATATGGATTTGGTTAATAAGTTTAACTCAAATAGTTTTTATAACTTTGAGTTATTCTTTTATTCAAGACAAGACCATGCTCCTTTATGTTTTACAGAATCTTTAATATAAACCATAAAATTTCAATATTTACATTGAATACTTGTTAAATGTACATGTCGTATTTTATATAAACCTAGGATGAACGAATCAAGCATAATAGATGGTCGGCTGATGAGAAGTCTTTCTTGAGGGAATACAGCCAGGCGTCAACAAGAGGAGAATCTGAAAATAGTTTCTGGAACAATTGTGCGACAGCCATGAACAAGAAGTTTGGTGGAAAAAACAGAACAGGTAAACAATGTTTTGAAGCTTTGCTAACATTAGTCTGGTCCTATTAAGTCTGATTTTTCTAGGCTCTATTTTTCTTCAGCTATATTATAAATACATTATGGACCATGCTCATAAACTTGCTTGGCATGACTATTGTCAACATATACAGTACAGCTAATACTCAAGTATTTTAAAGGCCATAATATAATCTGTTGTATTTTACTAGGTGTTGCTTTTTATGCTTTGCAAGTTATTTGTGATATACATGTATAGCCCCCTCTCATGCACAAGAATCAGATTTTTTAAAGGTTTTCCCAGACTCCTAAATTGCAAGTGTTTCCCGATTGTGTACTTGTGTTATTTGCTTCAAAGGAAAATCTTGTAAGATGGCAGCTTGGCGGTTGAGCCTTACCAGTACATCTAGCAACACAGCATGTACCTCTTCAGCTGCTGAAGATTTTGGAGATTTTACACAGCTGCCGGAGACAAACGGTTGTGATGTGGGAACACAGACTGAGTGGTCTTTCAATAGAAAGAATAGGCAAGAATATTCTTATCTCAAAATTCATTATTCTGTTCATAACAAAATACATCATTAAAATTTGACACACATTATCTAATAACTGATCATCAGTATGTGATCTTCTATTGCCTTGTTTTACAAATTGTTGATAACATATTTGGTTATGTGTAATAACTTAAATCCTGAATATTTGTATTTATACTTTCTGTGTTTGACAGAGGCATATAGTTTAAAAGAGCTTCTTTGGATATTTGTGAAAATGAATTGTACTTTTAAAAATACTTGTCATAGAATTTAAAATGTGTCGATGCAATGTCTTGGTATTGTTAAAGAACATAACTGCCCGGATGATATTGTGTAAAAATGTACAAGCTCCTTAAAAGTTAAATAACGTTTTTTTCCAGGACAAGCAAGCAAGATTGGATATTCTTTGAGCCACGAAAATATCTGCAGGGGGTAAGTTTGATGTACAGAAGCGCTTTAAACCCCCATTCAGTAATGCTAGTTAGAAAAAGTTATTAAAAGTCTAGCACTTAGCCATCACACAAATAATCTTGTGCAGTATAAATTAATTGAACTTTAACTTGACAAAGTTCAGTACATCAATAATGATGTTTTTTATGCCTCTAGTCGAAGACATTGTTTTTGTCCTTGACTTTCAAAGAACCTTGACCTTGATAGAAAAATATGAGCAAAATCGACTTTGGCTTGTAACTGCTTGGGGCATTGTGTTTCACAAACACATCTTGTTCTATATAAAGTTTATTTTATTAACGATTATTACCTACATGTATGTTGAGAAGTTTTGCAACCTTGAATGTTATAAGCTTTCGAGACAAACTGAGAAAAACAGAATGAGCATGGTACTTTGAGGACCACTCTTATTGCTTTTTGTAAAAAAACAAAACAAAAATTTCATGTTGCTTTAAACTACCATTTGATATTGATAATGGTCATTTCAGACAAAGAGCAAGTGTGCTGAGACATTAAATACTGCTGCACTGAGACGTCTAAGGACCTATTCAGAGCTAAAGGAAGAGGACATACATGAGATCATAAAAAAATTATGTGAGTATTATTTTAATTTAATTAACAAATAATAATATTAAAATATAATACTAAGCCGAATACAAATTATGCAATGATATATTTATACCCCCACAAACAAAAGTTTGAGGGGGGTATATTGGAGACATCACGTCAGTCGGTTGGTTAGTCGGGCGGGCTGTTGGTCCGTCCGCATATATACGAACATTCTTGTGGCGCAAACTACTTCCACATTTCTTGAGTGATTCATTTGAAACTTGGAATGTTATCACACTGATGTGCAGATATGCAATCAATCCAGGTTGGCATAGTTATGTGCTCTTGAACTTAGCCAAATTTTGTGAAACTGCTTATAACTTCCATCTTGGCTGTGTATACTGTGACAAATGTGCGTTGTGGGGGTATTAATCATCTTTAGTGATAGTTCTTGTTATAATTTATATCGACTGAAGTCAATTCTTTTTTGGTATCACAGCATAATTATTTTAAAGATAAGAAGTAAAAAATGGGATAATAAATTGACATTATTGATTAGAAAATGTTAGAAATCTCTAGCTTTCATTAACATTTGCAGTGCACAAGAACTGTAACTCTACTTTGTTCTGTTTTAAATTCTTCTTCTTTGAGCATAACTTTGTCAACTTCTATGCAATGTCAGGGGACACATCTGTTTCAAAGAAACATGTCGAGTCGATTTAAAAAGAGCTTTTTTAGCTATTTTAATTGGATATTTACGCAAATACTCAGCTGATCTGTAAACTCGAGTTATTACTGAAATAAAAGATTTATTTAGTTAAGGTGTCAGATGTGCATTTCATTGCTGTATTAAACAACATTTTCCAGGTTCCAGCTCTTCACATGAAGTTGCAGCCCACCTGTTGTCGTCACCCTTGCGAGGAAGTATTATTGTGGAACTTCTGAATGAAATTGAATTTGCAGCAAAAGAATGCTGCAACAAGGAAAGTGTTTTGGCCCAAAAGGAATTCTGTGACTTGACTGATTTTAACTGGCATGAACTCATTGGTGAACTTCTTGAACAACAACCATTGCTAGCTGATGTTCTCTTGGCAGTGTCACTACCAACATCAAAAATAGGGAATACCAACAGTGTTCATAAACTTATACCAGTTTTATCAACTGTGTTTGGAATGCTGATGAAAACCAGATACCAAGAGCTGTCTTTAGTTCAGAAGATCATTGCAATGACTTTGGCTAATGAACAGACAAGCCAAAAAGTAAATTGTGTCACAACTATGTTTTGTTGCCTTCAGACATTGTGTTAAGAGCCCAATGCCACAAACTATTGACTAATCAAAAAATTGGATTGAATAAACTAGAAAAAAATGTCTCTTAAATGGACATTCCCCTTTATCTGGTATAAATCAGTGAAGTATTTAATAAGATACGTCTTAAAACATTGGATTTGTTTTTATTTTTAAAACTCCAACATATCAGAAAAAGTTAAGTGGCAAAGTACCAAAATAATTAAAGTTTGTGAATTTGGGCATTCAAATGTTAAGAATTCTGTTCATGTTCATTGCACATGTTTTATCTATGGAAACTTTATTATTATTGTTTTTAAGTTTATGCATTGTATATTTTTTTATTATGCATTTGACTATGCAAATGTTGTTTTTAATTTGTTTTCAAGTTGGTGTTTAGGGTTGTATTACAGAAATGTTCATGATTTTTATGCTCCCCAAAAAATTTCGGGGAGCATATAGTTGCCGGGTTGTCCGTCCGTCAGTCAGTCCGTCCGTCAGTCAGTCAGTCAGTCAGTTCGTCCGTACGTCCCGAATTCGTGTCCGGCCCATAACTTTGTTATTTGAAGTCGGATTTTAAAACTATTTCACAGAAATGATCACCATATTAAGACGACGTGTAGCAAGCAACGTTTGGATCGCTACCTTGACGTTCAAGGTCACAGCATGACCTTGCAGCAAAATCGTGTCCGGCCCATAACTTTGTTATTTAAAGTTGGATTTTAAAATTATTTCACAGAAATGATCACCATATTAAGACGACGTGCCGCGCGCAACATTTGGGCTGCTACATTAAAGGTAAGGTCACAGCATGACCTTGCATCAAAATCGTGTCCGGCGCATAACTTCGTTATTTAAAGTTGGATTTCGAAAATATTTCACAGAAATGATCACCATATTAAGACGACGTGATGCACGCAATATTTGGGTCGCTACCTTGAAGGTCAAGGTCACAGCATCCACATGGAACATCATAATTGTGACACTGCATCTGACTACGCAAACCTTGTGCTTCAAGTAGGCGTTCTATTCATGGAATTGAATGAGATTGTCACAGCATGACCTTGCAGCAAAATCATGTCTGGCCCATAACTTGGTTGTTTGCAGTCAGATTTAACAACTATTTTTGACAAACTACTTCTGTGTCCGATACCTACTCGGGGAGCATTACCCGGTTCGACCGGCTCTTGTTCTGAACTAAAGTAGTATTATTTGGTTGCATGTTAAAATATCTATATTTTTTATCTTTTTATTACAGTTTTTTTCTATTGATGATTCTGTAATATGAACAAGGCCCCTATTTATGTTCATAAATGATGTTGTCAATGACCAAAAAAAGAATAACTGTACTGAAAGTACTGTGGTCATCTTTAAAGGACACAACACTTTATCAAAACTGTCCGTTTACATTGTCACCAATTGCAAATATTACTTAGGGCTGTTCCAGGAAAAAGTGTTGGGGGTGGAACGGAACTTAAAAATGGGGTTACCACAATACAATTTTATCTTTTTTTGGTACAGTCCATATGGAAATTCCAGGAAACACCCCCACCCACCGAATTTTAATTGATTTCCGTTCCACCACCACCCCCCCCGGGGATGCCGTTTTCCCTGGAACAGCCCTTAGTCAAAATGTTCATTTAGATAGCTTTTAAGTGTTTGTATATACATATTTATATAATATAAATATAATGTCTAGTATGAAATTAATGGGAAAAGTAAATAAAGAAAAAAATATTTTTAGATTTTCTTTTGTTTGTTTTTAGATTTCCAAACACATTTAAGTGGAATTATTTAACGCAATCACAAATGGAAATGCAATATTTCTCATATATATTTGTAGGTGTATGACAGACTTCAACCTTTGGGCGTGACACTGAGCCATTCAGGCATGTTATACACAATGGATCAGATAGCAGGACATTTTAATTGTGAATTAATTGATTCCATTGTAAATGGAAAGAAATTTAGAATTGTTGGGGACAACATCAATTTTTATGTTGGTTTAACCCATGAGCGAAAATCCAGAGGGAATGCAGCTCATATGGAGCATTGGTTTGGTTCAATGGCAATTGTACAAAACTTGAGCTTTAGTCACTTATCTCACCAGACACCACAATGTGACCTGCGAGCACTGCCCGTCTCAGCATTCTTGTTAGAAGAAAAGGATATTCAAATACTAAAAAAGAATGTCTCACACCATATTGCAAGAGTAATGGCAGAGTTTTTCCCATGGATGAAATTCGCCAAAGAAACTGCAAACAAACCAATCCTAAGTGTGTTTGCTGAATTGCCCGAGTTCAGCAGAAAAAATAAACTGATTCCACTCCCAGTAATGTCAAAAAATGAACAAAAATACTCAGATGTTGTAGACATACTTGAAAGCTATGAAAATCTAGTTGTCTCGGTTTGCAACAAGGCCAACGTTGAACCAACCCAGGTACATGTTGGTGGTGATCAGCTTACTAGAGAGCGATTTTCTGGGGCAACTGTTGTATAATACAGCAAATACAGAGCCATGTACTTTACATGCACAGAAAATTCGCCTGCTGCGAACAGATGCCAACGGCAATGACGTCAAAAACCACTTTAACCATTGCAAGGAACTTGCTATTTCATTTTTGAAAGCACACATCGTCGAAGCAGCATGTGAACAGTTTGGCGTTGATGACTGCAAGACAGTGCCAAATATTGACCTACCAAGTGATGGTGACTCAATCTCAGACTGGTTAGAGAGAGTAGTAGAGCCAATAACAGACACCATTCTTAATGCGTGTAACCCTGACAACCCAGACATCCACATGGAACATCATGACTGTGACACTGCAGCTGACTATGCAAACCTTGTGCTTCAAGTAGGTGTCCTGTTCATGGAATTGAATGATGTTGTCAAACACCCAGACAGAGACAGGCTACTGGCTGTACTAAAGATACTGATGGTCATCTTTAAAGGACACAACACAAGATCGAAGTATGCTTTAGAGATTCTCCGTTTGCTTTGTCAGCAATTTGCATTGTTAAGCGAGAGTCAGGCATTTTCCAGTCTGTACGGCTTGTTTGTAAATACAGGGGGTAAACCCGATACTAACAGTCCAGCAGATTTGGAGATGGAGCATCTTGTTAGGTTGACTAAAGGTCATCTCAAAGCCATGTGTTCAAACAAGTCCGAGTCTTCGATGCGGAAACGCAGTAGTGCATTCTTTGGAATGCAAAAGATCTGTGATAATTTTGATACTGAAACAAATATTGTTCATCGTGCTCAAAGGCACAAAGTTGTCTCAGCAGTTGACGATGAAATGGCAATCATTCAGGACTTGAGGAAGATAAGGCCTTTTTATCATGTGTGTGGAAGAAAAGTTGCTTCTATGAAGCGCTGTCCCAAAAATCCTGTAAAAAGGATTAGCTTAGAAGAACTTCAAAAATGGATTGTTCAAAACCAAACAAAATTTTATTATGAAATTGGAAGGTGAACAAATTGACAGGATTGTCACTTTTAAAGGGTTGAAACAAATTTACCATATATACATGTACATTATGTTTTGTTTAATTTCACTCATTGGACAAAAAAAGTCAATATAAACCATGTAAAGTCCACAGGGTCGTATTCACAAAGCACATTAAGTTAAAAAATAACTTAAGTGAAAATTTCAATTCCCCTTATTTCCTTCATTAGGTCATTTATATGGAAAATCATTACATCTGTGTGAAATACATTCATAAAACATTTCTTTTATGCAAAAGTAGGTCATTTTAAAACAAAAGTTTAAATGTAATGGTGTTAAGAATTTTTTATAATATTAAGTTTTGACTTAAGATGCTTTGTGAATATGACCCATTGGAGTGGCATGTTAGATTTGGTAAGGAGATCTTGTTATTACATTATTATGTAACTTAGCAATAAAGAAATGAAATACAAATTACATAATTATGCATCTACACAGTTCAACATAACAATACAAATTTGAGTAAGTTGCACAACTTTGTGTTTCAACAATGCTTGAAAATCCACTTAAAATGGCAGCCTTATGACACTTTGATGATGATTTTGGCCACCATATAGACCATGGATAAAATGAACCTGATTTAGGCTAAGTTGATAGATTACTAAAGTCATATTCTATTCCAAGTTCACCATTGCACAAATCACAGCAAACTAAGAATGTTTTCTCTGGTTCAGATTCAAAGCCAAAGTACTGGTTTATCAAACTTCTTCTGCAAGTATTTGTATTCACACAATATTCCTTCATTTCTCTGGTCATATGTGCTGATGCGATGTCTGACTTGTTAAAAAATAAAATGGCCTGAGCATCGATGTCACTCCTTCCAGCTCTTCCGATCTCCTGAACGTAAGCTGCAAATATAAATGAGACTAAGTTTATGGGTAAACTTAATTGTGAGGGAAACTTGGAGCTTACTGAACAGCACTCGAGTCCATTTTTAGATGAGAACCTAGAAGCACAAAACATCTCAAGCTAAAATTTGATTCACGGAAAGAATTTTTGGTTCCAGTTATTTCTTGAGAACATTTTATTTATAAATTTAACTTCTACGTAAAGTTTACCATAAATATATATGCTTTGTGCAAAATAAAGTCAAAATGAAACTGTTACTTTTATTGCAATTTTAAAGTTAAGGTTTTTTAATTTCATTCATAAGGTGCTTCAAGAATACGGTTCTAGTACTGCGGTTAATTTGTATTAGCCAAAGACAAGTAAGAAGTAAAATGAACAATAGCTTTTAATTCTCAATACATGAGTAAAATGCCTTTAGTACCTGTACATTCTCATATATCTGGGAGTTTCTAGAACTTTCTGTGTTACGGAGGCCTATAAATCCAGTGTTTGACCAGAATGGTATCAGTACAACTTGCTTGTTTAAAATAGAAGTCTTTACAATGCCGTAACTTACTTTCTAAAGATGTAGGAGGACCAGCATGAATCACACGTTTCACATGTCTCAAATCTGCGCCCATGCCTAGAGCCACAGATGCAAAAATCAGCCTTATGGCTGACTCTTCCTCCTGTAGGGTCTGGACAATATGTTTCTTCAGCTGAAATTCATTTTAAAAAAATACAAAAGTTTTGAATCCTTCTGACTGGAAGTTGCAACTATTTATCATTTATATCTTTAAAAAAATACAATAATTTTAGATAAATGGTATGTTTACATTTGTTTTATGTTGCTTGTTACACATTAATTTTTCATAGAAACAGTGTAAAATCTTTTAAGCCCACCTAAAGCATACATGATCATTACACTGTTTCTCTATAAAATCTATGAAAATCTATGAAAGTAGCCATATAATAATGCATTTTCTTATAAAACTGCTTTAGGAAAGGTCATACATATACTTAACTACAAAAAAACCTCCTTATTAGCAGCTTAATTAGTAGGCATAACTGCCAAGTGAATTGTTACCATACTTCACTGAAATTACATTATTATAAAAATACCATTAACAGAAAAAACATAATGGCAATAACATTTGACTATTTCAAAATAAATTCACTGTAAAGTTGAAAATAAATAATACCTTTCCATCTGGGCCCTCCATAGATGAATGATACATAACAACTCTAGTTGTTTTCTCTGATGGCGCTCCTGAGTAGAATTCATCACCAAGTACTTCCTTTGCTAATTCATATCCATAACCTATCCAGTTCATAGTCTTGCAATATATTATGGTTATCCCAAAGTTATCAAGTTCACTCTTAAGTTGTTGTAAAACTGGTACAAATATATAATCGTATGGCGTCAAGGATGTATTTCCCTTCGAGTTTGGACTCGGACGATTCTTGACAATCATTTTAATATTGTCTTTTGCAGGGCTAGCACATACAACTTCAAAGTTTGTCATATGAAGACATTTAGCTATTTCTTTTTGCCCGGCTCTAGTTATTGTTGCTGACAATGCAAGAATTGGGCAACTTACAAGAGACTTCAATTGGTATATTCTTTTAAAGTCCTTCCTGAATTCTTTGCCCCATTCAATGACACAATGAGCCTCATCTATTACAAGAAACTTGTCATACTCTTGAAATTGAGATGAGCGAAAAAGTTTGTTTATTTCAGGAGAGTTTAAAACAGTTTCTGGGTGAAAGAAAAAATATTTGGTATTTGATAAGTCAATAGTGTCTATATTCATTGACAAGGAAAATGATTGTCCACTGAGTTTCACCGTTTGCTGTTCAATTATAGCGTTTAAAGGCACAATAACAATAACAAGACACTTTGGAACAAAAAACGGCAGAATTTCATATATAAACGATTTTCCATAACCAGTTGGAAGTGCACAGATGCAGTCTTTTTTAGATAATAATGTTTGTATTGCTTGCAGCTGTAGCGGTTTAATTTTTGTTATTTTGCAATTGAACTCTGTAGAGTAGTTATGCAAAGCATCTGTGATTGACTGGCTACTTATATCCTGAAAACAGAAAAAAGACATGACACTTTTATTATAAACATAAAAAAGCCAGGTCATTTTTAATTAGATTGGTGGGGGTACCACATTCTATACATGTATAAATACTAACAATCAGCTTCTATTGAATTAAAAATAATATTCATTTCTATGTTCATAAATGTGTGTGAGGTGCAGTGGCGGATCCAGGATTTGGCCTTAGGTAAATCATTGAAAGTGTTAAAAGTTGACAGTATTGCAGTAAGTTATTTTAAGCGTGTTTTGTGCCGTTTGGGCCACATTTCTATTATAATAAAGCTTAAAATGATGCGCGAGCGAGGAAAAATTGAGAAAAATTAGCGTTTTTGGGCATAAAAAATCATAAGTCTGCGGCCATTAGGGGGGGGGGCGTGCGCCGGGTGTGGCCCCCCCCACCCTGGATCCGCTAGTGAGGTGGGTAGGAATGGCTCAAACAAATTAAGTTAATAATTGGCATAGTCCTGGCAACGTCCCACCACCATCTAAACCAGAGGATTCTAATTTTTGTAAAACTGTTCTACAGAATGAATGTTAACATTACAATATTATCAATGTATCAAAACTGAATAAGCATTTATTCCGTATTTTCTGTAAGTTTGACACAAACCATATCAGACTTAATGTTGGTGGTGGGACGTTTGCCGGGATATTGCCAACACACATTCGTATTGATCACAATACAAAACAAAATCATTTTACAAGAAAACTTATGATTTCATATCCGAAATATCACAATCTTCGTATTTGTCCGAAAAGTACTCAACTTATTGAAGTTTAAAAAAAATAACATGTGAAAATGCTCCACGAAAATAAACGTTATTTTTAAGAATTTTATATATACATATCAATTAAAAATTCAACAATATCCCGATGAACCACTTTTTAAAAACATTTGGTTAACATACAGCTATCATCGCGTCGGCCATTGTTTCGTCAATGCCAGACTTCTATTTGTTTACAATAGAAGCTGGGAACCAGACTAACAGGAGAGCTTGTATAAATATTGTGTGCTGAAAAATGCATGCCTGTATGAAAATAGCAGTTTAGACATTATAAATCTAACCTAAATTAACTGATGTAGCAGCTACAACAGCAACAACAACAATCATAACATTTGAGCCAATTATCCATAAAGTACACTGTTTAATGACTAGAAAATATTTTATGTGTATATATTAATAGCAAATACATTCTGCAACACAGCAAAACATCAAGTTTCACTACACTGAAAATGCCTATATTTCCAAATTTTATAAATCACATTTGTCCTGTTCAATTGTCAGTTCTGCTTCATTGAAATACAAGAAAATAGTGAATATTTACATACTGATAATTACAGCATCAATCCTTTGCTGAAACATCAAAACATATAATGTGTGGTCCATATGAGCAATAGGCTACTATGGTGCTTGTTCGAATCCCATCGCCGGTGCTTCTTGGGCCCCTTAGAGATCTCTGGAATGAGCTTGCCAATCACTTTTTTTACCAATGTAACCAATATGTTACCACACACTCCCCAATTCCTTGCAATGCATAATTTATCCATAATTTAAGATGCATTTCTCTAAAAATTATCATTTTCTATATAAATCTTATAAAAATAAGCTAGATTTATAGTATTGTTATGCGCTAATTTATGGTTCTACTAAATGTGGATTGAATCACAACACAATGTTCCGTTTTATATTTTAATGTTTCTTTCTTAGTGGAATACCACAGATAATATATAACATATACACAGGTTATCCTGATGTTTACAAATTAATATTAAAAACAGTAACAATTATTTCTAGTGGAAAGCCACAATACAATGTTATCACTTGGAAATCCAAAATCTAACTGACCCTAAATTTTCTACATGTATCTTTACAATAATTCTAAAATTGATTTCGTTTTAACTGACCAATAGAATGTTTAACATTTTTGTGTCTTAAATAACAAAATGACCAATCAGGTTTCAATACAAATAATGTAACATAGCAACATAGAATTTATAACAACAATCATCACCTGGATATTTTATCAGTCATAAGGTTTAACAACATGATAAGTACAGACAGCTTAATTGACCTTATCACCTATATATTATAAAACTTTTAGCACAGTTGATTGGACAAAGAGGAAAAGCCGCATTTTAATCTTCCAGTTACATAATTTTAAATTTGACATCTGTTATTGAAACATATACTATTTGTAACGTATTTTTGAAATTTCACATATTTTGTTTTGAAAATATGACCTTTTAGAAAATGATCATATATATAAATATTTGTGTTTAAAAGAAAATCATCATGCATATTTATTCTTTTTTTTTTTTGTAAATGAATTTTATCATTTTTCGGCTGCACAACACTTCTCCCTCCTTCAAGACTATTTCACTCCTGTGAAATGAAGCATAAATACTATATAACAAAAATAAATATCATTAAATTAGAATACTGTTTACATAAGATATTCAGTTTCAGAAAAATATACTTGAATATAAAGCACCGATTTTGCTGAAAAGCGTAAGTACCATTCACTAATAATAAATATCCTTATCACTGTCTTATTGTAAACAACAGAGTTTTAATGATGTCTATTTCTGTTGTATTGTCCCCTCTGTCCTTGTTGTCTTCCATGATGATATTGACCTCTCCATTCATGTGGGAACCCGGTCTCGCATGTACTTGAAAAGTCTTGATTTTTGTTTCCTCTTTTTCGACATAGATATTTAGTTTTGTCTTTTAACTGAGCAATCTCGTCTCTTAAGTTGTGGTTTTGATTTTTAAGGTCATCTATTTCGTCTTTTTTCCTTGATTCTATCATTTCTATTTCATAAGATTTCTGGTTGTGTTTCAGTCTCAGTTGTTCATAATCGCCATTAAGTTTCTTAAATTCTAATATAAGTTTGTCCATTATCTCTAGTTTTGAAGAGTCAGCCCGAATTGTTTCCTTTAGCGAGTTGTTTTTTTGAAAAAATGTTTCTTTAAGTTGACTTATTTCTAATTTCTTTAGGGAAACCTCATCCTGTAGTTTTTCATTAAAATCCTTAAGTCTTTGATTTTTAATAACAAGGGCAATATTTTCTGCTTTTAAACCGTAAATAGTTTTAGTCATTGAATCGGTCAAAGATTTCAACTTCTGAAATTCTGCTGTTGAAACATTACTTACAGAATTGTTTGTTTGGTTCTTCTTAAAGAAGGCATCGTCTTCATTGTAAAATGGAAATGTGTATTCAGCTGTCTTGCGTCTGATGAAAGTTGTCATGCGTTCCTGATCGCGTAGTTTTGATTCGTTTGACTTTTGACTTACTGCTGGACGTAGACAAACTCGTGCAAAATGTCCAATTCTATTACATTTGTTGCATCTTGCCATTTTTGCATAACACTTCTCCTGTCTGTTATTATGATAAAGTCCACATTGTCCACATGATTTTTCGCTTCTGAATGGTATTCCATATGTGAAACTCATTGTTGTTCGTCTTGGGGAATTTGAATTCGTAGTCTCGCTTGCTAAATTGAGAGGTTGGGAAAGACACTGATTCCCGCCACGTGTTATGCGCTAATTTATGGTTCTACTAAATGTGGATTGAATCACAACACAATGTTCCGTTTTATATTTTAATGTTTCTTTCTTAGTGGAATACCACAGATAATATATAACATATACACAGGTTATCCTGATGTTTACAAATTAATATTAAAAACAGTAACAATTATTTCTAGTGGAAAGCCACAATACAATGTTATCACTTGGAAATCCAAAATCTAACTGACCCTAAATTTTCTACATGTATCTTTACAATAATTCTAAAATTGATTTCGTTTTAACTGACCAATAGAATGTTTAACATTTTTGTGTCTTAAATAACAAAATGACCAATCAGGTTTCAATACAAATAATGTAACATAGCAACATAGAATTTATAACAACAATCATCACCTGGATATTTTATCAGTCATAAGGTTTAACAACATGATAAGTACAGACAGCTTAATTGACCTTATCACCTATATATTATAAAACTTTTAGCACAGTTGATTGGACAAAGAGGAAAAGCCGCATTTTAATTTTTTAGTTACATAATTTTAAATTTAACATTTGTTATTGAAACATATACTATTTGTAACGTATTTTTGAAATTTTACATATTTTGTTTTGAAAATATGACCTTTTAGAAAATTATTATATATATAAATATTTGTGTTTAAAAGAAAATTATTATGCATATTTATTTTTTTTTTTTTTTTTTTTTTTTTTTTGTAAATGAATTTTATCATTTTTCGGCTGCACAACAGTATATTGCTAAACACATGGTGCAAAAATAAAATTTATCAATTTATAAACTGCTTTTTACAAAATTTAAATTTCATTTTTTAATTCTAAATTTATCTTTACAGTTTTAATTCAATAAAATGTGGTTAATCTTTCATGCAAAAGCTCTGTACCCTTCTCCCTGCTTACTGACTCAGTAGCAGACATCTACATTTGAAGGGGAGATAGCAATAACAACATATGTCCCAATTTAAAATGTCAAAATTTAAAATTTGAATTAAAATTTTCAAACCTGTCAGTTATCCTTTATTTTCCTGACTTCTTTTCATTAACACATCACTGATGCAAAGTTTCATCCATATCAACCAGTTCCAATTTTTCTTATTTCTTATCTAGGACTCGTACCGGTGAATTTTCGTACTATTTGTTTTATAGTAAATCAGTCAAATTTGAGGCTTAATTCTGGATTCCACTGTTCTTGATGAATTATATACTGTCTTCAACTTTAAACATTAACACTATCTAAGTCCAATGAGGCCCAAAATATAATAGGTTAGCCATCTACTTTTTTCAGAAATCTTCATTCTGTTGTAACACTGTTTAAATTCACCTCTTTAAAAACTCCTGACAGCTGGTGGGTAGTACATCTTTAATCCTTCCACCAACAAATGAGTTCCTGGAGAATACACAAAAAATAACTTTTAAAGTCATCATATAACACACAAAAACTACACACATGCAATAAATACACTTATACAATTATGACCAATCTAACTAGAGATGACTTAAACTGGGCCATTCCAAAATTTTAAAGAACTACTTTCTAGACTACAACGGGTTCGGTCTAATTCCGTACCGGGTTGAGACCCTAGAGGATTATCCGTAACGTACCGGCAAACGGTATTTAGCCAGGTTTTCGAAAGGTCAATTAACCAATCCTGTACGGTTTACAGATCACATGCTCCTCCATGTACCGAAAACAGGTCACGTGCTCCTCCATGCCTCAAAAGTTAAACGCGTACCAATACCCTGCGGTCTCCAGACCGCAGGGAACAATAATTTATACCTGAAGTTAATGATTGCATCATTGATGGTGGTGGATAATTGATATTTAACCGATTACATGATTAAACTTTCTTATATGAGCATACGTTTGCATAAGATGTCGTTTTACACGTGTAATTTTACAAACCGAAATTTTTACGAACGTGTGTAAAAATGAAACATGAAGTGTTATTTTTAATAATATCGTGTCCATGTAACAAAGTGAGTCATTTTTTTTTTTTGAAATTATCGATTCTTTCATCAATGTCCATTAATCAGAAGAAAAAAACTGTTGTATTCTGCGTTGTATTTACTTTTTCATGAATTGAGCAATTTCGAGTTGTATCCCTTATTATATTATAAATATAGTGGGAAAGGAAAAAAAAATACAGAATCCCCTTTGGTTTAACTATGTTTAATTTTGTCTTGTCTGTAATAAAAATTACTTTATGTTACTTGAGGAGAAACTCCGAAAACTGTCCATTATGTGAGAAAATGGACAGATCGAGGCGCTATGCGCCGTGATTTGTTTATTCTCCCACATAATGGACAGTTTGAGGAGTTTCTCTTACTTTAAAGATGTTTTCTATTGTCTTAATAATGGATAGTTGTATCAATCCATGCATTCTATACAAAAATTACCTGCCTCCATTGTTAACTTATTGGACACTTGAATTAAATTTCTTTTTCAGTGGGACAAAGAAATACAAGAATTAAAAAAAAACAACATAATTTCCATGTCTCATTTGTGTGTTTGTCTAGAAATGTTAAAACACCATTATCGGTTATTAGTTTGGGACTATAATACATATTGGAATAATAATGTAATAGTATGTATATTTTTATCATCAGTGATTATTGTTTTATGTTTTTCCCCAGCATAAATATGATTACAACTCCACAGCTTATCATTATTTAACAGTTTAACTAACACAAAATTTAAACGCTTTATTTCGAAAAAAAAAATCAATGAAACAGAGCAATTTATTGGCTAGTGTAGTAATAAATTTAGGGGAATAATCCTAATGAAAAGAGCAATTTACCACAAATCTACGATTATTGCACATTTTCGTTTGCAATGTTCTTTTTCTTTGTTAACCCTTTCACTGCCATAGGGACGGCTTAAGCCGTCCCTGTTATTTTCGGCGTATTTGCCATATGGACGGCTTTAGCCGTTTCTATAATAAGCATAATAATAATAATAAATTAATAATAATAATAAAAATAATAAGAAATATAAAGAAAATTATACCATCAACAATAATTATTATTATACTAGCATATTTGGAAACATATATAATTATCATAAATAAATACTAATAACAAATAATAATAATAATTATATTAATTAATAATATAGTATTTTTTTAGAAAACCCTCTGGCAAATAGGGGATCAATAAAACAATAACCCTCTGGCAGCGAAAGGGTTAATAAGAAACACAGTCGTTAATTTCCATATATATGTATATATACTCATATATACTAAATTAAAATACATGATCATTTTCATTGGAAAAAAAATGTTTGATATTGCTTATATCTTACTAATGTTCCTTATAATCAATTAAGCCACCAACAGTCTTGTGTACGTTTCATTATACATGTATAATGATAAATGCATGAATTGTAGACATTTGGCATTGTAGAGAATTCATCTTTTTGTAAAACTGATATTTATATGAAAGACATGTTTGTATAATAACATGATTGTTTTATAAGAATGTCTCCGAGTAAAATCACACACAAACTAATGTTAAATTTTTCTTGTTTACAATCAGTCACTTCCAGTTGACATATAAAGAATGAATTCTGTGTTACTAAGAATTTAAGAAACTAAAGCCCGAATATTAGATAAATTACGATATAAACAATACTAAACATAAATTTTTAAAAATCTTTAAAATTAAGGTTCATCTAAGTATATATGTTTTAAGTATTTAGAAGTTAAGTTTTTTAAGTATTAGAAGTTACCACTTGTTATTAGATGAAGTTAATGTCTCAGTACATTTTTATTGAGGCATTATATTCAAACATATAAAGGTACAAAAAAAAAATAACTGTCCATAATTTTGATAAATATTGGATGGAAAAGTATCCAATATTTAAATATTGGATACTTTTAAAGCAAATATTGGAGAGTTTCTTCATCTATCAGTACAATAAACACATTAATGTACAGATACAACAAAATATGACGTCACAAACATGTTTAAATTTTATATGAAAGGCAACCAAGAAAGAATATAATTTGAAATAATGTTGAAGGTTTATCTTAAAAGAGTGGTTAGTACAACTGATCAGTAAAATATGCATTTACAATGCTTAAAATAATCGATTATTAATGGATTTCTTTGGTTTTGATTACCAATTATTAATCAATTACTGACCAAAAACAATTAATCATTAATTTTATTGATAACTGAAAATTTGGTAATAATCATTACTTTAATCAGGTCCTTTTTCAAGTAATCGATCCAATGTTTGGCACATGAGTTGTCAAGTTTTTGGTCGGAAACAAATTTCACCTTCAAGGTCTATGCGACCTAGACCTTTGACCCTTGACCTAAAATCAATTGGGGTCATCTACAGGCCAAGAATAATGCACCTGTGAAGTTTAAAGGTCAAAGTCTTATGAGTTGTTGAGTTGTTATTTTGAAACCATTTTGACATTTCAAGTCAAATTGACCTTAACCTTTGATCTTAAACCCCCAAACCAAAGAGGTCATCGTCTGGTCACGAACAATCACCATATAAAGTTTGAAGTTCCTACGCCTAAGTGTTATTTAGTTATTGATCAGAAACCACTTGGTCTACGGAACGATCGACCGACTAGCCGACAGACAGACAAATGCAATATACTCTCACTTGTTTGAAGGGGGGTGGCATAGAAAGTAAAAACTTTTTGCATTTCTTGTTTCAAACATAGAAATACCACTATTCTCCATATAAATATATATTTTTAAAAAATAACTAACCGATTCATGGATTTATGCAATGAACCAGTTGTCACTGTGTACTGTTTTATATTGCTAAATACGTCAGTCATCATATACCC